CCACCCACCCATCCATCTATCCATCCATCCGTCCACCCATCCACCCACCCATCCATCCACCCTTCCTTCCTTCCATCCACTCTCCCTCCATCCATCCATCCCTCCTTCTGTCCTTCCACGATCCATCCAGTTGTCTGTCTGTCCATCTGCACACCACTTTAGCAGTCCCTACATGTACAGGTCTATGCTCCCTTTCCCAATGACCTTTTCCAAACTGCCTCACCATCATTAACACAAACTCACTGCTCCTGTAATTTTCTCATCTGTCTTTTCAAGTGGCTGTTGTCAATTTGATCCATATAGACAGTTGTTGAAAAGAGTCAAATGCTTCATGCAGAATCATTTCATCATCTGGCTAAACTGTTGTTTGGTTCAAAGATTACTTCAGGGAACAGTTTTGGTTCAAGGTTCACAGATTCCATCAGGGTAATTGTTTTGGGGACAGTGATTCATTTGACCTCAGTGGTCCCAGAGAGCCTGGATTCTGTGAGATTCTGAAATTCTGTTCCTCATTTTCCCCCTTTTGATCAGGATTCTTCCATAGAATGCTTGATCTAAAAGTTGGCTCCTAGTAGCAGGGGCCTTTCCAGCTCTTCTGGTCTCCCAGCTAAGGTGGCAGTTGCTCGTGGAGGTGATGGACACACATTTCATTTCCTTCCAGGAGATTTTTTTAAAGACCCTCTTCCGGAGGCGGATTTGTACGTCCTGGCGAGGGTCCTGCATGACTGGCCGGATGAGAAGTGCTCCCACCTGCTGGCACGTGTCCACCACGCCTGCAGGCCAGGTAGGCCGTGGAGGCCGATGTTGGCTGTGTGGTGGGGGGGCATGGCAGGCAGGATTCCTGACTCACATTCCAGTGCTGCGTCCTGATTTGTGTCCCGGGGTATGTGGAGCCAGGGACAGGTGATCCTGGTGCATGTGGGGCCGGGGACAGGTGATCCCGGTGGGGGTCGACCCCAGGGCTGGGGTGTGCAAAGGAGACCTAGGGCAGTCAGCTGGTCCTCAGTGACCTAACAGTCATCTGTCCATGCGTCCATCCGTTTATCGTATCATCTGTCAGTCATCTACCTGCCCATCCATCCATCCATCCATCCAACCATCTACCTGCCCATCAACTCCACCCCCTGCCTCCGCAGGTGGTGGGGTCCTGGTGGTTGAGAGCCTCCTGGCTGAGGACAGGCGGGGCCCTCTGACCACCCAGCTCTATTCCCTGAACATGCTCGTGCAGACGGAGGGCCGGGAGAGGACCCCCGGCGAGTACCGCGCGCTTGTCTCCGCGGCCGGCTTCCAGGACTTCTGCCTCAAGAAAACGGGCAGAATCTACGATGTGATTTTAGCCAGGAAATGACTCCACTCGCGGCATGAGCCCGAGTTCTCCAGACAAACAGAACTGTGGCATGTGTCCATCTATCACCTTCTGTCTGTCTGTCTGTCATCTATCTGTGTGTCTGTCACCTACCTCTGTATGTGTTTTTCTCCTCCATCTGTCTGTCCCAGAGTAGCGTCGGTTCTCACCTAAGCCCTGAGTAGTATCTTACGGAAGGGAGCACACGCGTGTCGTCAGGGCCCACAGGGAAGACACAGCACGTGAAGCTGTCCCCACAGCCCGGGGACCCAAAGGACCGTTGGCCGTCACCAGAAGCTGCCCCGGATTCTCCGTCTGAGTCTCAGAAGGAATGAGCCAAGTTTGGGCCCCAGACTGAGACGCAATAAAGTTCTGTCGTTGAAGCCTGTTCACATTTCGTTCCTTGGCTGGGGCAGCCCCGGGCCACAGGCCCCCTCCCCAAGGGGGCTTTTGTGGGATGGCGGTGGGGCGTCTCCGTCCTTCCCGCTGGGGCTGGGATAGCAGTGGAAAGTCAAAGCAAACATCCCCCCTTCAACAATGTCTCCATTCCGTTCAGTGATGCGGGTTCCATTTCTCACCTGGTGTCAATAGTCACTCTTTCTGTTAAAATGGTTCCACAACCATTTACTTAGACTCACTGCCCCCCATCTTCTCACCTGGGCGGCAGGGCTCCTGTCGTCAGTCTAGTCCCTTACATATAATCTTCAGAAAGAGCACAGCGTTGCGGGCATTCATCCCAAACCAACTGAGCCGGACTGTTGTTTGATTTAAAGGTGACGTCAGGGCACGGTTTCGGTGAAAGATCTGAAGAGTATCTGAGGACCATAGAGTTTGGACTTCCTCCAGCCTCAGTGGGTCTAGTCAGTGTGGAATTTTTGAGCATTTTAAATTCTGTTCCACATTTCCCCCCCCCCCTTTGATCGGGATCCCTTTGTTGTGTCCCTGATTAGAGTGTTTGTGGGGTGAGAGGGTTCCATGCAGTTCTCTCTTGAAAGGCCTTTGTTAGCAGACTTAGTAAGGGATGAGGCTGGAATACTGGTCCTTGGCCTCTCCTGTGGATGCCCCCAGTGTTAGGACAAAGGGTCTTGAAAGATGCAACGGTTTCTCCCCAAATACATCTCGGCACACCTACGACCCTTGGACACCCTCTCTCTCTCTTTTTTGTTTAAATTGTTGTTAACTGCCACGGAGTCGGCTGAGTCCTGCTGGCCTGTGCACAGTGCGACCAGATGCTGACGGCCCTGCACCAGCCCCGTGACCCCGGGATCCATAGTTTCTGTGACTGACTTTTGAAAGGCAGTCGCCAGGCCTTTCTGCCTGGTCTCAGTCTGGACGATTGCTGAAACCTGTCCACACTGGGGCCCGGGCTGGGATTTGAACTACGGGTGGCACAGCCTCTAGCCATATAGCAGCACTCAGGCCAGCACAGTATGACGGATGGATAGATGGACGGTGGGCCATTAAAACGACAGCCATGAAAAACCGATGGAACACCTCTCTAGTTTGTAATGTGAGGTGTTGCCGTGAGTTGGAATTGACTCCATGGCAACCAGCGACAGTGTGGTGCGGCTAGTTCATCCCTTGGGGCCAAAGCAGCGTTGGCCGGCTGGTTACCCGGACGGCTCCTGGGTTAAAAAGAACAGACGCACAGACCCCCAAGGGGAGGACAGGCCACGTGAGGACCGCCCACCAGGAAAGCCACACACGCAGGCTTCCCGGGGACACCAGCGGGGAGAAAGCCACACCTCGCGCTCAATCCATTACCACCTTTTAGTGAAAAGTCTATTTTAATACCCACTTCTAAAACCCGATAAAAATGGGTATCTTTGTGACTTCTCTTCCTTCGGACAAAAAAGAGGACTGTTTCTCGAGCTGGTTCTCCGTGGGTCGGGGCCTTTGTTGGGGGTCATGGGGGATTCCGACCCTGGTCTCATTCCACCGTGATTTCTGCAACGTTGATGTCACTTGGCCGCCCCGGTTTTCACGTGTGAAGTGTGCTTTCTCCCTGGATTATCCGCTGACCTCAGACCCACCTCCGTGTTCAGTTGCTGTTGTTCGGTGCTGTGGGCTCAGAACCGACTCACAATGACACCCTGAGACCCACAACTGCCGTCAGCCTTCCTGGGCTGTCACCTTTTCAAACCACCCCTTCTTCTTCCTGCAAAGGGGCTGGGTGGCTCCGAACCCCAGCCTTTCGGTTTGCAGCCGAGCGCTTCACTGCTTGTGCCACCAGGGCTCTTTTATTATTATGTTTTCAAATTTCATGTATTTTCTTATTGTTGTTGTTGAGAATACACAAGAAGATATACCTCATCCAGCTGTCTGCAGATGTGGAACTCAAAGACACTGGTCCCAGGAAGCTACCCGGGCAACCGTTCTCCCCTCTTTTCCGGAGCTGTGCCTCCCCAGTCGGCACAAGCTCACCACCCTCGCAGCTTCCTGTCGAACCTTCCAGTCTGTGTTGCCGGTTTCAAATCCCCAGGGCCCCTTGAAGCAGTACTGTTTTATTGCCCAATCCTGTTCCTGACCTGCCTCCTAGGACCATATCTAACTTGGTTGGATGGTGATTGTCGACCCCGTTCTTACAAATAATAGTGTCACCAGCTCGTTGTTGTTGCGTTTCAGTAACTAGCTGTGTGGAAAAATAATCACCAAAACCTCACCTGCTGACATGGAGTCCATTCTGACCCACAGCGCCCCTAGAGGACAGAGTGGAACTGCACCACAGGGTCTCCAAGGCTGTCAGTCTTCACAGAAGCAAAGCCCAAACCACACCCACTGCCCTGGAGTCCATTCTGACCCACAGCGCCCCTAGAG